TTTTTTTTATTAGACTATTTCAACGATACAGAGAGGAGTAAAAAAAACACCTGTGTCACTGACATACCAGCCATTGAAGATTTCAACAAGGATTATTTCTGTCCTTATTTGTTGAGTGTATTTTGGAGAAACCCATTTGAAATTTACATATTTCTCGACATCATTCACCTACATAACTCACCATCTGTCTCATAAGAATAAGGACATTTTATAAATCTCAACAACATTAAATGCGACTAGATGATTTTATACTAGTGAGGTGCTCCTGACCAGGAAGCCCCCCAAAGACAGTGGGTGGAACCTACCTCCCAGCTCCTGCCCCTCCCCTCCTCTCCCCCCTCAGAGCTGTCTGGATGGAGGATGACAGACATCAGTTCTACCTGGGAAGCCCACACACCCCTGGCCCACCCCCACCCAGGACCTGGCAATCTAGGTCTGGCTTCGGAGGATCCAGTAGTCAGCAGAGGGCTGCAGTGTGCCAGCTGGGAGTGAAAGTCATTGGGGGTGAGGAGAGGAGTTAGCATCAGCCCCAGGAGCCTGGAATAGCACCTGGTGTGGGCTCCAGCCCTGCCCACCTGGCTCACAGGATGTTGCCAAAGCCGCCAGGCCTAAGCAACTGAGGTGGGCATACAGCCCTCTGCCTGCGGCCCAGGGGTCAGGCAAGGAGATCTCCTTCAGGGCGAGCTTTGCTGGAGGAATTAAATATAGAACAGGGAGACACAGTTGCCAGGCAGAAGCAGGCGGTGCTGTGAATAGAACAATGCTCTTTGTGGTGAGGGAGCTACGGGAGAGCCTGCTGTGCATGTGCCAGGGGCTTCTGGGCAGACTCTCTGACCCTCACGGTGACCTCAGAGTTTCAAGACTTTGTCGCTTCACATGCGAGGAATCTGAAGTTTAGATGAGTGAAGTCATTTTCCCAAGATCATTCTGCCAAGTAGAGGAGCCACATGCAGACAGTTTTGAGCCCACATCCTGGCCACCATGGTGATCACTGGTCCTGGGGTCTCCGCTTCAGGAGGGTCTGACTCCAAGGCCCCGCTCAGACACATACTCTTCTTTCATATTTTTCTGAACACACCGAGTGTGCCTGTCCCTTAGCTCACGGGCTTGCAATGCCCTTGCAGAGTAGGTGCTTCAGGAAGTGTCTGATGGAAGTTGGCTGCAGAGCCAGGGCCTGGTGGGGTTAGAGCCCACAGAGGCAACAGCACACAGAGGCCTGAGAGGGGCAGAGGTTGGAGCTGGCTCCCTCCAGAGCAGTCCTTCGTAGGCTCTGCAGGGGGCTCTGGAATGCTGCTCCAGCAGCCTGTTTGGCACAGGGATAGAGGCCGGTTGTGCAGTACTATCCACTGCCCGGAGCTTCCCGCCCAGCCCAAGTTGTGCCAACTCTTGTGAGCCCTGAGTGGCTCTGAGCTGGCTTAGCCCCAAAACAGGGCCTGCCTCTGGGCCTCAATGAAGCATGCCCATGAGTCAGCACTGAGCATGGACTGAGCAACAGGCAGGCAGGACGTGGGATGGGGAACGGAGGATGAAGGGGGGCAGGGGGTGGGGTGCTGGAAGAACCCACATCCTTGTAGCCTCCAGTGGCTGTGAGATCATTGCCCCTGCAGATCTTGCAGAAGCGTTTTGTCACAACCGTTCCACAGGTGATGGCAGATTGATTCCATGATGCTTGACAGGTTAGTGAACCTCTGGGTTTGGGGTCTGATTGCCACATTCCCTCTACTCAGGCACGACTGCTCTGAAAACCCCATCACACGTGCAGTAGCAAGTATTACCCTCAAGGAAGGCTAAGGAGGTGAGGGGGGAGGAAGTGGGAGACAGGTGCACAACGCCCATTTCCGGATTGTGTAACAGCACCATTAAAATAAAGTCACACAATGCATCTTTTATTAGACATGATTTTAATACCATATCAAAACATCTTGACTAATGAAGAAAGCTTTGCCCCCAACTTCGAACATTTTTTAAAACATTTTATAAGGATGGTGTTTTTTTGTATTTTAATATATAAATACAGAAACCTATCTTGCATGGGCTGATGCCACGTGTGAACATCAATGGCTAAAATGTTCTCAAACAGAGTGCCTGAAAACGGGTAGCTGTACATGTTCCTTTAATAAGTCTTCTGTGTGTTTAAGTTTTCAGGAAAAAAAATCCACAAGGGCCTAAGAAAAATGTTCAGGCATTTTTGCAGGACACTTGTGATTGTGAAGTCCTCTGAACTGACCAGAAACCAGGAGGAAAGGAGGGAGAAGAATCAGGAATGAAGGGGGAGGTCTTCTGAGGGTTGTTTTTTTTGGCAATGAAGTCAAGATCTCAGGGTCCCAAGGGGAGAAAAGTGCAAAACCAAGCCAGGAAAATGGGCAAAGAAAACCAAGGCCGGGCGGTTGTTGATGGCGAGGGCCGAACCGACGGGGCGCTGGGCCAGGAGGACCGAGCGAGCGTCTCTCGCACCATCAGCACTGAACCTGGCTCTGTCCCTTTGTCATTGGGTGGGTTCTAGCCGGGCAGCAGACAGCAATCTGTAAACATCACGGGCGAAAACACCAGTCGACACTAAACTTTTTTTTTATGATTTTTTTTTGTAAACACGTTAAGAGACAGACCCACAATGCCTTTCAAAGGTGAGAAAGAAAATGCCCTTTCCCTCCTAGGAGGAGAGGTGAGGGGAAGGAGGGCGGTCGATTCTTTCTTCTCTCAAACTCATGGCTCATCCAATTTGGTGTCCTCAGGGAGAAAGGGAGAACCATTCTCTGGAAGTCAGTGCGTAGGGTGCCCTGTTCCCACTGGTGTCCCCAGCTCAGCTCTGCCCCAGTGTCCGAAGCCTCCTCTCGGGAACAGGGCTGGCTGTCCTGTGTGGACCACAATACGGAAGTCGTGCTCCCGCTGGGCTGAAGCCAGCCTGTGTGTCCGGCTGAGGACGGGCTGGGCGCCTGTGGTTCCAGTCCGGGGCCCGAGAAGGCAAATATCATGCCGGGAATTTGGACTCGCACTCCAGCGCCAGGCTCCACGCCCTCTGCCTCACTCTCACCCTCACTGTTTCTTCTCCCCATGTCCTCAGTTTTTCAGGTGAAGGTAAAAAGAGCAAATGTCCCTGATTTGTCTGCCATCATCAGCTGTTCTGGAAGTTTACTTGGAATAAATAAAACAAACCTAACACAAAAGAAAACAAAAAAACAAGAGAGAGAAAGAGGCCCCAAAACTTTTGGATGTGAGTGGAGGTGGAGTCAGGGTTTTGGGTTCCCTGGGGGTTTTGTTTATTTCCCAGGTAAAATAAAGTACCAGCCCAGAACTTGGAGGGGACAGGAGAGGATGGCCACCAGGGAAGCAGGGAGCCTTGGGGAGAAAGGGAGAGGTCAGACTGGAAGGTTCTACAGGGGACGTGTGTGCACATTGTGGGGAGGAAGGTAGCCGGCGGGCTTGCTGTGGAACCAGGACCTGTGCTGTGTGTGGGGGTGGGGGTGGGGGTTGAGTCTGGCCTGGAGGTCTCAGACCCAACTGGCAGTGTGCGTGAGGGAGGTGGCCTGAAACGGGAAGCACCAGCAGTGGAACGATGGCTGATGAGTACCACAGGGGACAATGCACCGTCCCACAAACTGTCCACAGGGGACGAGGAGCGAGGACTTGCCCTAGCCACTCAGCAAGCACAGGCAGGTGCAAGCCCAAGGGCTCAAGCTCATGCGGCTTCTCCCACCTGGCACATTCCAAGGGGCTCCTCCTGAACCTTCTTCAGGGAGATTCGCCCTAGACGTCTGGAATAGACTGGTCTTTCCTCAAAGAATCAACTGTACTGAGCAGGTGTTTTTTTTTTCTTTTTTCATAACCATGCAAGATAGCATCTCTTAGCCTTCCCAGAATGCCCCCCGCCCTCCAACCTACCATAGAACCACTAACTGATAAGATGCCCCCCTCCTGGAGGTATGTAAGGGCAACTCAGTCCCCACCCCCCGGCCCCAGAGTGGCCAGATCCCAATCCCTGAGCCCAGAGCACCCCAACCATCGGCTCACCTTTGAGAGGAGTCAGCAAGCGAGCCCAGCAGGGTCAGTCCGCAGGGTGTTCTGGACAAGATCTGTTCACTTCAAACCACGAGTCTATGCAGCTGAGGCAGGAAGCGGCAAGGGGAGACACGTTACCGCTGACCAGGCTGCGCCTTAGGGGGCTCGCTCCGAGGGTCAGATTTCTGAGTAGGGGTTTCCTAAATCTTGCCTGCGAGGACCCCAGGAGAAAACAAGCCTGTCCCAGATACCCACTTTCTGAAGCAGGAAGAAGGCAAACACCAAGATTGATCTTGGCTCAGCCCGGGCAGCCAACCTGGCATGGGGGGCACAGGACTGGGTGCATCTGGATGCTAGAAGGGTGGACTGCGGCCTTGAGAAGGATCAAGGCCTTACCTGCATGGACCCAGGCGGTGGCAACAGCTACTAGTGAGTAGGGGAGGAGTGCAGGGCAGCTAGCCAGCTATCCCTAAGGCTCAAAGGCTGGCCATTACTCTGAGCTCTGAGGACCTGAGGGAGCCCTCTCCTGGGTCAAAGGAACAGCTTCGAGAATCCCTCTCTAGGGGGTGACTTCTTAGGAGACCCCCAAGCTACCTGGTTCGGTTGGCTGTGGTCAGCAGACAACATCCCAGAGAAGGACAGCCCCCTGGCTTAGTGACACTGCTAAGGAGAGCCAGACAGTGAAACCCTGGTCTCCAGTGTTTACAGAAAGAACTGCCTGAATCAAAGAGGGAACAGAGATTGCCCCAAGACAGCTTTCTGATTTGTAAACTAACATCTGGGTATTTTCAAAGACAGGATCCAGACAGGTAATTTGCATAATTCTCCCCAGAATCAAAGATTTCCTTCTCTGGTTCTGGTTGGTGCCTGGCCAGGAAACTGGAGCACTCTGTGCTGGCCCTGGACCAAGATCCCCTGCTCCAGGCCAACCTTGAGCCTCCCCTGCATCAGCGACATCTGCGAGCCGGCACCACCATTGCCCTGTGGCCAGTGGCCCTGTGAGTCAGGCTTTGGAAAAGCCCATGTGTCAGGAAGAAGCTCTGAGACTCGAGGAGCCAAGAGCAGGTGGTGGCCACAGGCAGCACAGAGCGTCCTCCGTCTTGGGTAGGGAGGTGTCTTCTTTCCATTTGGAAACAAGAACGAGGCTCATCTGGAGCCTGAGGACAAATCTCGGCCCTTCTAATTATAACAGCTTCAGTGCCTGGCCCCAAAGGTTGGCTATTCCTGCCTCCTGGCCTGGGGACTAGGGGCGGATGCAGGGGCAGCAAGCACACCCCTCCATGCTGCCTCTCTCTCACTTCGCGGGAGCAGAGGGGCCCACAGAGGAAGAAAAGGCTGGGGAGATGGATAAAGAATCAAATTTCCAAAGAAAGGAATCTTTGGTTCTGTGGGATCCTAAGCACCTCCTACCTGTGGAGCTCCACAGGTCTCCCCATCACCCAGCAGCCAGCCAGGCCGTCATCAACCCAGAGCAAAATTTCTGGCCATTTGGCTCGACCCTATACTCAGCACATCTGCCAGCCTCTGTCTCAACCCCACTCATATCCCAGGAATGGGGCGTGGGGAGGGGGAAGAGTTGTCCCTCAACCAAAGAAAACAGAATGGCTAGTGAGGAGGGTTGCCTTCTCTCTCCATGGTGGGATCTGGGATGTGGCTGAGCTGGCCCTGCCCCCTCTCGTACCTTTTGTGGTAAATGCACAGGCAGGGCAGCCTGGCTATCGTGTCTCCCTGAAGCAGCTCCTCCAGGCAGATCACACACTCGCCCGCATCTTTAGTCAGCACGTCGTCTGCAGAGGGAAACGGGAGAGTGGAGGAGGGTCAGTCACCAGCAGACAGGTGGCACAAAGCAGGCACGGGCTAGAACTGGTTGAAACTGCTCGGGTCACCCAACATATACAGGGCACTGTGGGGGACACAAAAGCCCAAGTGGCCCTGGACCTGAAGGCCTTCACTGCAGAGATAAGGCATGCATATCACACATTAATGATGTGAAGACAAAATGGGATTACTTACCAAATAAGTGGCCTGGGGCTAGAGAATTAGGGGGCTTGGAGAGGGATAGATGTGTAGCAGAGGCAGCATTAGACAAAGTATTTCCCTGAATAGACTTTCCCCACAGACCAACTGCACTGATTTCTGGTTTGAAAAAACATGGTGATGACTAGCGTGGTATAGTCATACAAGGCAAAAATGAATGGAATAAGCAGGTACTCTCACAAATACTTGTACATACACGTCCATAGCAGCACTATTCACCAGAGCCAAACGGTGGAAACAAATGTCCACCAACTAATGAATAGATAAACAAAATGTGATGTATCTGTGCAATGGAATATTACTCAGCCATGAAAAGGAACAAAGAACCAAAGCATGCTACAGTGTGGATGAACCTCAAAAATATGCTATTTCTGAAGAAGCCAGACACAAAAGGCCATCTATTATACAATTCATTACATGCAATGTCCAGCATAGGCAAATTCATAGAGACAAAAAGTAGATCAGGGGTCAAGAGCAGGAGGGAATGAGGAGTGACTGTTTTTTTTTAATAATATATTTTATTGATTTTTTACAGAGAGGAAGGGAGAGGGATAGATAAGTTAGAAACATCGATGAGAGAGAAACATCGATCAGCTGCCTCCTGCACACCCCCTACTGGGGATGTGCCCGCAACCAAGGTACATGCCCTTGACCAGAATCGAACCTGGGACCCTCGAGTCTGCAGGCCGATGCTCTATCCACTGAGCCAAACCGGCCAGGGCGGGAGTGACTGTTTAATGCTAAGGGGTTTTCTGTTTTGTGGTAAGAACACTTAACATGAGATCTGCCTTCTTAACATATTTTTAAGTGTACAGTACATTCTTAACTATAGGTACAGTGTTGTACATCTCTACAACTTACTCACCTTGCATAACTGAAACTTTATACCCATTGAGTAGCAACTCCCATTCCCCTCTCCCCTCAGCCTCTGGCATGCATCATTCCATTCATGCCCTGGTTCTATGAGGTGGACTATCTTAAATATGACATATAAGCAGAATCATGTAGGAGGGTTCCTTTGGGGGTGATGAAAATGTTTGTAACTAGACAGACATGGGGTTGTCCAATGCTGTGAATGTTCTAATACAACTAAACTGTAAAATTCAATTTTTTAAAAAAGACCCCCATCCTCCACCCCTCCCCCCAAAAAAAAAGAGTGAATGAAAGGAAGCCACTGCACACCACGGGCCCCAACAAAGCTGAGCAGGACAGGAAGTGCGCTGCAGCCAAGTCAGCAGTCCTCTACTAGATTTCTACGACATTCTGGGCACTAGTGACTCAGTGAATAAGCCACGAACTCAGGATGTGAGAAGCTCAGAGTCTAGCAGGAGAGGCTGAACAAGAAAACGGAAATGAATAGCACAGCAATTTCTAGGAAGTCTTATGCATACAGGCCCAGGTATGAGGTATGAAAAATGTCTAACTGGAGTGAGGACTGTTCAGGGAAGGATATTCCAGGCAAAGAGAACAATATCTGCACACCTGGGACCTGCAGGAGATTTGCTATGGCAGGTGCAGACTCCTGGGCCATGGGGTGACCAGGAATTGAACCTGCCACCTCTTGGTGTCTGGGCTGATGCTCCAACCATCTGGGGTTCAGAAGAGAGATGTGGGTGACAGGTTATACATGAGACATAGAGATCAACTGGGGAGAAAGTTTAGAATGAAACCTAAAGAAGGCAGAATACAAACCTAGGTCAACTTTAATATCTGAAAGGCCGGTGAAAGAGGTGAAGTAAGAAAAGGTTACCCAGTTCTCAAAGCCACAGGAGAAAAACTGAGAGAGCAGGCTTTTGGATGTGAAGAAAGGAGAGCTTAAAACAGGACCAGTTCTCCACTACTAAGATTTTAACTGCTCGTGGGCATTGTCCATGAGACATACTGAGATTTCCTGTGTGTGTGTTCACTTCAGCCTCACAATCTTAGGAGCCAGGCAGGGCACATGTGTTGTTCTCACTTTACGAAGAGACTGAAGCCAGAAGTCAGGCATCTTGCCTAAGTCACAGGGCTCACGAAAGGACGTGCAGACGGGGGACCCAATTGGTGCCCTTCTCCGCTGCTGTTTGTCCATGCCCTCTGATTACTTGGGTGTAAAGAGAAACATCTGGGGCCTATAAAATGAGGATTCCTCAGGGCCTAGAAAGCTATGGTGACTCAAAGCCTCTCACCAGGAAGCCTGGGGGAAAAACCCAAGATAAAACCAACTCCATACATCAGTTCCTGTGCACATGAGCTGGGAGAACAGCCACTCTCAGCTTCTTGGCCACCAGACAATCTGTGGCCGTTTTCTCTGTCGGTAAACCCGAAGGCTGCTTGAAGGTTGCTGGGATGGGGCTTGGAACTTGACGGCGTGGGGAAGCCAGCGGTGCTCACACCCAGCACAGAGCCCAGGGAAGCAGCCTTCTTCCCACGGTGGAAGGCAGGAACATGCCTGAGTGGGTTGAGTAAAACTTCCTGTCCCAATCCCTGGGGCCCTGGAAATCAGCGGCCCCCAGATGTCTGTGGGAGCCAAGCAGGAAAGGGGAAATGACTGAAGCGGAAGCTTGGCTATCAACTGATTCCTATAAGACTTCACACTCTCAGATGGGAGCTTGCTGCCCACTTGTTGGAGGACCTCACAGCACAAAGCAAGGACACTGGGCCTGGCACAAGTTGAGGCTGCTCTGCACATGGACTCAAATGCCCCTTGGCATCCCCAGGTCCCGAGGAGGGGCTCAGCCAATGCCAGTTGATGGGTACACAGGAACAAAGCTGAGCTTTCTGCCTTTCTCTTACCACCTCCCAACCCCCTTCCAAGCATCTTGACATCCTGTGCAAGGTCAACATCACTGCTCTGGAAGTGTGTTTGGCCTGACTGGGGGTGGTGCAAAATGGTTCCAATGCCTATCCCTCCAACCAGACCAGGGAACCAAACCAGAGTGGTAGGCAAAGTTCTCTAGAGCCAAAATGAGACCCCAGAACTGCTGGTGACAAGGAGGGGGTAGGGAAGCCCAAACAGCTATATATAGATTTCTGCCAGCAGCCAGGAGGGAAGGCTGATGTGCAGCTCACAGCCAGCAGCTGAATGTGGGACTGTACAATATGTTTTCCCCTTGTACCTGATGCCAGGGAAGGCCTTGGTAGGAAGAGAGGTGGGAGCCAGAGGGAGAACCCCAGCAAATGACAGAGACCAGGCTCCACTCCCTGGCCTCATCTCCAGCCTCTCAGCATGCACCACGCTGCTGGCCCAGTCTCTTGGGGGACAGGAAGGGGCAGTGCCACCAACGCCAAGACTTGTCAGCCCACCCTGGCTGGTTTGGCTCAGTGGATAGAGCGTTGGCCTGCGGAGTGAAGGGTCCCAGGTTTGATTCTAGTCAAGGGCACATGCCTGGGTTGCAGGTTCAATCCCCAGGAGGGGACATGCAGGAGGAGCCAATCAATGATTCTCTCTCATCATTGATGTTTCTATCTCTCCCTCTCCCTTCTTCGCGGAAATCAATAATAATAAAAAAGACTTGCCAGCTCCATTCCTGCGGAATCTCTGGGCAAAGGGGAGACTTTTAGCAGAGTGAGTTCCCCTACCATCATCCTCACCCCAATACCCCAGGACTGTGAGGTGTGATCCAATTTTTTGGCAAGGTGGGCTGCAATGGCAACACCCCAGAGGAGTGAACCACTAAAGCTCAGGCCAGAAGGTTTCGATTTACAGAAGCTCCCACAACCACCCCACTCAGTTCCCTCCTTTGGCCCCTTTCCCACCCACCCACTCCTCACTCACCCAGCAGCCTGGCCTGTCAATCAGCGGCTGCTGGGAGCACCCTCCTCCTTTCCCTCCTGCAGGAGGAACACCAGGCCAGACACCTCTGCAGCCAGACTCAGCAGCTGCTACAGCATCTAACAACCGCTCCTGGCAGTGGCCTACTGGGCTAGGCAAACCCTCAGCCACGACCTGGCTTCCCCAGACCCAAGAAAAGGCATTTGCATTCCAAATACAGGCCTCAGCAGAGACACTGGCCCACAGAGCACCACTTGCTCAGGTCTGCTGGCTCAGCTAGAGGTAAACTAGCAGCAGGTATTCCTGCTTTGAGAGGAACCCAATTCCCTCTCCTTTAAACCTTGTGTGACATTCAGTATTTCAAGAGGCTGAAGTTGGGGACAATGACCTTTGGCAGATGAGAGGAAGGGCAGTCAGGATCTTGAAGGAGCAGGGCATGGGGTCTGCATTCCCAAAGAAAGCTGAGGGGAGCCCTAGCCGGTGTGGCTCAGTTGGTGGAATGTTGTTCCATGCACCGGTTGCTGGTTTGATTCTGGGTCAGGGCACATGCCCGGGTTCTTGGCTCGATCCCCAGTAGGGGGCATGCAGGAGGCAGCTGATTGATGTTTCTCTCTCTCTCTCTCTCTACCTCTCCTTCTCGCTCTAAAAATCAATACAAACATATTTTAAAAATTAAAAAGGCCCAGAAGAATCTCCTGAAGCTGCTCTGAGCACCATCAAGCTCTCCTAATACCAATGGCAATGGAACCCGCCACACACCAGAATTTCCCAGGGCCAAGAGCACCTGGCTGGTCCTGGAACCAGGGCCTCCTATGCTTTCAGTGGGCAGTCAGTCATCTGTCACGCCTCCCCTCACCCCTGTATCTGACTCTCATCTGTTCACAGCAAAATCAGGTTCCCCATCTTGAGGCTCACTCTGCTAGCTGAGCAATTTGTTAGTCAAAATTTGAGTACATACTCTTGAGGGCAAAACCCCCAGTCTCAGAACCACAAACAGATGTTGGAAAGGGAGAGAAGTTACAAGTCCCATTCAAGCTGACCACATTTACCCACAAAAATGGGTCTCTCCAACTCCTTCCTTATCTCCCAGGAGTCCTGGGTTCCGAGCTGCCCTGGAAGAGGAGCGTGAGAGATGTAACATCAGTGTTCTGGGGTCTGGCGGCCTCCCTGCCCCTCCAGCAGGGGTTAGCACCTGCCCCAGCACAGGTTACAGGTCTTTGCATTTCTCTTGAGCACTGGGCAAACCAGTTGAACTAGTCTTGTCTTTACTAAAGTGTTTGGTGTGTTTTTTAATCTGGCAGGCGGCTACTGGAGGCCTTCCAACCTACTGCTCAGGCCAACCCTCATAATAAGAAAAATACTACTTTCTGTCTGCCTCATTTAGGAGGTTTCTACTTTTTTTCCCTTTGGTGGTTAACTAAATTTCATCTTTTATAACCACTGTAAATTTTCTTTAAAAATCCCCAACTAGTGCCAGCAATTACAGAAAGTGTACGTGTGAGTGTAGAGGGGAGACCTCCAGGGCAGTGAGCAGGAGTTCTAGTGAATCTTCATAAGAAAATAGCATTTCTCTCTATAACTAACTGGGAAAGTCTCAACCTGCCCCCTTTCCAGAAAGATTCTGAGAGTTCTATACTTCAGACTCTTTAAGTCTCCTCACTTTTTTTAATCAGAAAAGATAAAGTGAAGCTGGGAGGTTGGTATGATAAGAAATTCTGGGTAAGATATGTTACTGGCAAAACCAAAATAAATATCTAGAGGTCCTGCCTGGGGCTTTGGCCTGTGGACCCTGAAAGGCCCATGCTTTATCTGAACAAGAACAGGGCCTAGGCCAGCCCTGGAGACTCCCACTGCATGTACAAACCCCAGGTGGCCAGCGCCTCCTTACCTGGGAGGTCTAGGTGTCTTCAGAAAGGAAAGACAATATGAGGAGGCCAGTCACAAGCCTCCTTCCACACTAACAGTGCACACAGAGGGGCCAGACCACTGTTTCTGAAGCACCTTCATCACCGTATGACCAATTCCACTGATAGGACCCATGCAACATGCCCTCTCTTTGCCTCTCGTGGTAAAACACTGGCTTTTGCAAAGGAGATCCTTGAGCTTAAAGCCTCTAACACGCGCGTACACACACACACACTCCCTGAGGAGGTGGCTTTTCAATTAGAGGAGGGAAAAAATGGGGACAGCCATAGTGATGTCTCAGGCTGGCCGGCCAACCTCCTCGTCCTCTAAGGGGACTCAGACTCTGAGTGTGGCTTCTGCGGGTGACCTGTGCTCAGACCACATGGGGCTGCCAAGCCTGCTCTCCTATGGAGGTGAAGGTGAAGGAAAGGAGACCCTTTCCCATGGCTGCAGCAGAGAGGAGACCAATGAGCAGCACGGCAGTTCTCCAGGATAGAGCCCAAGCCCCTCCTCTTCCCCATTCTCCAAATGGGACCAGTGGTACCCCGTTCTCAGGTGGCCCCAAGAGCACTCTGTCCTCCACAGCTGCCTTTGCATAGTCGTCCTTCATGACACCAGGAGCCTAGTCCTCTCGGGTGAGCCCACTCTGAGGCTGCTTTGTGTTCTCATGACACAGTCAGTGTCTACAGAGATCTCTTCCCAGCAACCCACGGGACAAAAAGCGGTCTTCATCGCGCTCTGTGCAGTTTGGAAAATAAGCGAACAGTTTCTGAGGCCACGGCTGGGGAGAAGACTCCTCTCCGCTGTGGTCCCAGGCAGAGACAAGGAACAGGACAAAGAGGAGCTAGAGCAGCCTCCAAGGGACGCACACTGACAAGTCCACCGCAAAGCCCAGAGTGCGCGTGACAACTGATTCAGACACTGCAGCCGTCATCCCCAGGGACAGGGAGAGGCTGTCCGCTGGGGAGAAGAAGGGCTTCCTGGACACCAGGAGAATATGAAGGGGACAGATAGGGCCAGAACCTCCTGCGGCTGGGCCTCCTACCAGACTGCGTGTAGCTGACACAGCAAGTAACCATTCCGCACACATGCACCCAGAGCCTTTGGCTGAGCAAATAAAGAAGAGATGAGAACATTAGGATGTGTTTTCAGGAGAAGTGAGTGGGTTAGATTTGTCAGGTTCATTTCACAGGAAAAATCTGGAATCACCAGGCCTCCCTGGGCTAATGCTGGGTGGAGGAAGGAGGGCATGGGGATCTGAGGAGGCAGGAGCCCAAGGACAAGTCTGTAAAGAGTCTACCCAGGAAACTTTCACCATGAGGATGGGGCAAAGCAATCCAGGCTCACCTCCTGTCCAGTCCTCAGATTCCCTGAGAGGTCACAGAACTCTTTCCCTAAGCACTGCTGTGACTTTAATCCTAGAAGCGGGCCCAGTGCCAGGGTCGGGGTGTGTCCCACTCAGATCCAGTGCCTGTTCTTGTAGAGAACACAGTTCTCTGATGAACATGGTTGGAAGACCAAACTAAGCACATAAGAATGGAAAACCACTAACTGGTTGGTGTGGCTCAGGGGTTGAGCGTAGACCCATGAACCAGGCAATCAAGGTTCGATCCCCGGTCAGGGCACATGACCGGGTTGCAACTCGATCCCCAGTGGGGAGGGGGGGGCGTGCAGGAGACAGTCAATCAATGATTCTCTCACATTATTGATGTTTCTATCTCTCTCTCCCTCTCCCTTTCTCTCTAAAATGATTTTTTTTTAAAAGAAAAAAGAATGGAAAACCAGAGAGCCACTAGCAGCACTGAACAGAAGTCAGTCCACTCCACAAAATGATGAAAAGAAACCTAGGATGGTCTCACCTCTTTCAGGGCTGCTGTAACTTCCTGAGCACTGACCATGTGCCAGGCTCTGTGCTGAAGGGTTTTATATGTAACTAGAGGCCTGGGGCACGAATTAGTGCACGGGTGGGGTCTGGCCCACCCCATTAGGCTGATCGGGCTGGGCGGGGGGGGGGGCGCACGGGTGGTTGGCCAGCTGGCCCCGCCCTCTGGTCTAACTCTCATTTGAGGGGACAATTTGCATTTTAGCCTTTTATTATATAGGATATCTTACTTTATCCTGATGAAAATCCTATGAACCAGGTATTGATGTCCCTATTTTATGGACCAGAAAACCTAGGCTCTGCTAAACTGAGCAACTGGTCTAGGATAATAGTCAGTAAGTGGTTGCGGCAGGCTTTGAACTCAGATCAGCCAGGCTCCAAATCCTTATCCACGGCATACCAGGCAGATGCTGACACTCATTTCGTCCACAGAGGTGCCACTTAGGGGGATGTGGGTTTCATGGAATCCCTGGCCCAGTTTCCTACCCGTGTATTCACTGCTCAGCTCTGAGGCAGGCTCCATGGTAGGAGTGACCAGGTGGCAGCTCCATGTTTTTATTCCCTAAGGGTGTCCACATCTTGCACCCATTCTGCCAGGCAGAATCAGGGCTTAAGCACTCCATGCAAAACACTGGCACAAACTCCCCATCCCCCAAGGAGAGGTCACACCCTCTGCTGTCAGGTGTGAGAATGGGCAGAGCTCTATCACCCAACCAGAGGTCCAAGGAACCAAGGGGTCGGAAGAAAGGGCAGCGGGACTGAGTGACCCAAGAGACTTCCTGGTACCACAGCCCTGATCCCTGGGCCTTCCTTCCTTCCTGGTCCCACTGCTCTTCGCCTCTGATTGGCGCAGCAAGACTTGCTAACAGTCAGGTGTCCCCTGACTATTCCTGCCGGAAGGTGGGTGGAAATGCTGCCCAGAGGCGCGTGAGGTTGGGAAGACCTCACTCAGAAGCTCCCAGCCAAGCGCTTACCATTGTAGGAGAGGCGAGGTTTGCTCAGACACATTATAAAGTGCATTTCCATCTCATCGGAAGCCACAGACTTGGAGCAAATGGGGCACTTGAAACCTGAAAAAGAGGAAAACAGGATGAAATGTTTTCTCTAAACTAAGTATATTCATTATAAATGTAGATACTCTTAAATGACTATGGCCATGTGGGGCCAGAGTTGACATGGAGAATTCAAATCTAGATACATCCTAGACTTGATTGCTCCTTCATTAAATCACCTAAAATTTTGTTATTTTATTACAGCCCCCGACTCCCATTTTTTACTAGTGCTCTCCCAGTCATATGCTCCTCATTGAAGTTTATCAGAAGTCACCGACTGCTAATTTGAGTTTTATTTTCTTTTAGACCCTTTCCTAAGGGGGTCTAAGGGGCAATGGGAATAGACAGGCATCAAATCAGAGCAACTAAATAATCTGTCTTTGAACAACAACGCATTGAACACCCTTCCACTTTACAGCCCTCGAACCACTTGGTTGGGTGCCCTGTGGGAGGAATTCCTACTGGCATCAGCATCTCCATCCCTCACTCAGAGCACCTTTGCCTCCCTGGGCTAAGGCAGCTGTCCTCTGAGTGTGCAAGCCAGAGTGCTCCCAAATGCCTTGTGTGCCTTGCCCATATGCCACTGAGAGTAACAGCTGTTTCACAACACCAGGCAAACACAGGGTTCTATTCCCAAGTGTGGACTGTTTATACACCCAAGGGGTTTCATCAGAATTCTATCAGTACTGGAGATTTCAGTTGAGAATCTTCTGAGCTGAACTTCATGAAGCAAACATAGTCCCTTGACTTATTTTTTTAGAAACTATTTTTGTTGTTAATCCTCACTCAAGGAGAGTGGAAGGGGGGGAAGGGGGGGGGAGAGAGAGAGAGATAAATCCATGTGAGAGACATACAGATTGGTTACCTCCCATATGCACCCAACTGGGTCTGGGGATCAAACCTGCAACCCAAGGATGTGCTCTTGACTGGGCATCGAACCCGAGACACTTCAGTACTCGGGCCAACACTCCAACCACTGAGCACTGCCAGGGCTATTTTTATAAACACTGATAAACTACTTCCAATTTCCCCCCATTTTACTTTTATTGAAATTATTTTCAATGGATTTTTTTCCATTCTACCAAAAGATCCAATACTATTAAGAAGCTATTGTTGTGAAGATTTGGCTCTTCTATTAATTTTCAATCAGAATGTTCCATGCACAATTTTACTAGATGCTGGTAATATCTATCAGTGACATTTCTTATAAAATAGATAAAAAGGTTGGGAGTTTGTGTGGACTGTTAGCTGCTCCAGGACAGGAGAATTCCACCCCTTCACCAATGTCTTTCCTCTCCACGTGGCCTTACTCAGGCAACCTTGGACCTGCCCTCATGCCTGTTCTCTGCAAATAAACCTATATTTATATCAAATAGCATTCCACAGAATGACCAGCCACTAGAACAGTGGTTCTCAACCTTCTGGCCCTTTAAGTACAGTTCCTCATGTTGTGACCCAACCATAAAATTATTTTCGTTGCTCCTTCATAACTGTAATGTTGCTACTGTTATGAATCGTAATGTAAATATCTGATATGCAGGATGGTCTTAGGCGACCCCTGTGAAAGGGTCGTTCGACCGCCAAAGGGGTCGCAACCCACAGGTTGAGAACCACTGCACTAGAAGATTGTCTCATTTTCTTCAGAGGTTGGCTCACCTTCTTTTCTGACTCAAAATACCAGTTTTGCAACAATTTAAGTGACTACAGGATATGTCTACTTTAAACTTGCTAAGTCAGCACTCTGTCTGCAGGCCGAGGGCCCAGGGCTGTGGGCAGGCCAGGACGGATGCAATGAGGTCTGGATCAGGCCCTGACACAGACACTGGTAGGTGTTAAAGTGATTTGTTACTAATAAAAAACCTTACACCTCACACATTCTTCACTTTCCTGATAACTTAGAACAGAGTCATGGTTATCGCAATAACAGATTAGCCAATCCCTAAATCCCAATGTGATTCATCGATTGCAGGAAAGGAGAGGAGTTACAGCTAAAGGGCTGGGAAGCAGCCACCCAACAAGGACTACAAGGGAACGTCACTGATCATTTATGTCCCAGGAAAAACCAAATTGTACAGATAAAGAAAGAGGCCCCAGCTAGACCATTAGGTCAAACTGAGGGAGTAGGGGTGAGACTAGAATCAGATTCTTAGCTCCCAATCGGAAGTCCTTTCCATCAGAGGAAAGTTGTTCACAGGTGTGATGCTGTGATTCATAATAAATATATGTTTGGTCTTTGTCCCGTTACTGGCACAGAGCACCCAAAACCCTTGAGATTTCCGAACATCCTAAGACCAATAATATTTGGTCTGTTGTCATCAGTTCCTGAAAAATAACTCCAGAGCCATGAGGTGAAAGGAGTGTCTTATTAGTCATAACAAGCCCTTTTCAACCACACCAGTTTATGTGAATGAGGCGGCTTTTGGAAAGCTCCTTGGTAAACTAAGGCTAGGGACTAGCTGCCAGGGGAACCCTCAGCTGATGAGAGGGTTGGAACTTTGAGTCCCACCCCCCAACCTCCCACTTACGTAATAGACTTTGAGGAGGGGAGAGGGGCTAGAGATTGAGCTCAACCACCAATGGCCAATGAGTTAATCAACTAAGCCCATGTAATGAAGGCTCCACAGAAACCCAAAAGGACAGGGATCAGAGAGCTTTTCAGGTTGATGAACACGGAGAGATTCAGGGAGAGGGGTGCCCCTGAAGAAGGCATGAAAGCTCCGGGCCCTTTCCCCATACCATGTCCTATCTATCTCTTCCCTTGGCTGTTCCTGAGTTATACCCTTTTATAATAAACTGGTAGTCTAGTACTGAAATGTTTCTCTGAGTTCTGTAAGCTGCTCTAACAAATGGCATGAAGTAAGGAGGGGATTGTGGGAACCTCTGGTTAACAGCCAGTTGGTCAGAAGCAGAGATGACAACCTAGACTTGCAATTGGTGTTTGAAAGGAGGAGTGGGGGAGGCAGTCTTATGGGACTGAGCCCTTAACCTGAGGGATCTGATGCTATCTCCAGGTAGGTAGTTTCAGAATGGAGTTAATTACTAGGTGGTGCTGGGAAGACATATCTCAGAACAGGGTTTTAAGAAAGAGCTGGATTGGGAGGACATGCCACTATAGTAGGAAGAGACCTACATTCCAGCAAAAGCACGGTTAGGGCCACTTGGATCACTATCTCTGGATGCGGGGGGAGGAGGTGGTGGAGGAAAGGGGTAAGGCTCAAGACATAACTCGAAGTCTATTACGTAAGTAGAAAGTGCCAAGCCAAAACCGGTTTGGCTCAGTGGATAGAGCGTCGGCCTGCGGATTGAGGGGTCCCGGGTTCGATTCCGGTCAAGGGCATGTAACTGGGTTGCGAGCACATCCCCACTGGGAGATGTGCAGGAGGCAGCTGGTCGATGTTTCTCTCTCATCGATGTTTCTAACTCTCTATCTCTCTCCCTTCCTCTCTGTAAAAAATCAATAAAATATATTAAAAAAAAAAAAAAGAAAATGCCAAGATATCCTCCTTGGACCTCAGTTTCCTAAAATGAAAAATAGTCATTTACCTGACTCTTGCTAGAAGCCAATGAAATAAGAAACTTGAAAGCACGCTAAAAAGCAGCTACTCAAATGTATGTGGTAGCCCCTTCATCACACATGGCAGCCCTTGACAAGGAGGAAGGAACAGGAGGACTGGGGGAAGGATCTGGGGGCCGAGAGATAGGGTGATGGAGCATAGGGTGCATAGGCCGAACCCATGCAGTGTGTGAGGGGGTGGCCAGTTTGCTTGCTAATTCTATCTGATTCCTTTAAACTTCCAGAGCACCTGTACGGCACTTTCCTACAGCGAATGTGGACCATGGTCCCTGTTAATCTTTCAAAGCAACCACTCTTGCACATAATAACAGGTCACATTTATTGAGTCATTACTATGGGCAACCACTGGGCTTCACATGTCTTCTCGTTGACACAGTATGAGGTGGGTACTAACGTTAACTCTATTTTGCAGAAGAGGACATCAAGGAAAGTCACTTGCCCAAGACAACCAGAGCTGGCACGCAACACCCAGGAAGTCTGACAGCCAGTGCACCTCCTCGCCAAGCTGTGTGACTAGCAGAGGAGTTATACTGCAGAAACAACCTAAATGCCACAGGCACCAGTATTACTAAATACTAATTTAAAATCTCCCATGTAGTCCCAATTTCTCCTCAAGTACCCACAGTCCTGGATAATTCCATAAACTAAAACAATGAAAAAAAAATTTTTTCCCCCGGGGAATTCTGTTAATATGGAAGGACAGAGTTCTGCTTTCCACTTGGCCCCGGAGCCTACAGCACTGGCTGTAAGATGCTGAGTTTGCAAATTACCTTTTAAATGGAAATTAAAAGGCAACAGGTTAGAGAAATGGAAAACTTTAGGGAAAAAACTAATGTCTTTCCCACCTTCTTTCCTGAAAGGTCATTGGTGATCAAGATGGATTCTACCCCTCTACTGCCCCAATCTTTTCTCATAATTGTCCTGTCACGATTCAACACCAACAGCCCTACGAAATGATAAATTCTGTGGTCTTCATGAGCTATCTAAAGGTTAAGATGTCTAGGAAATGTTGATACCATTTTGGAAAAAAGTCCAAATCAAATTAAAATCAGTCCTGCAAAGTTGTCCAACTGACATGATTTTGTTAAATTTCATGAGACCTTCATCAGCACTCAGGAAGCAGATAGGAGATGCCTGATTTTCCCTCATGAGAAAGCAACAGGTGGAGTTCCCAGGAGACCCCATAACTGCATCTGCGACTAGACCCTGCCCATTGCCCTGGAAGCCAGGTGAACAGACAGTAAGTGCACCAGCTGCCTTCCTCTCTCTTCCATCTAATTGACTTTCAGAGGCAGTGCCCTGCACATGTTGTGTCTTTACAATTTGCCACCGACAAAGTGACGGGAGTGAACCAAGAGACCAGCTCAAGGTTATACAGTCAGAAAAGCCGAGGACAGTTTGATCAGCCAGAAGAACCCAGCTGCTTCCTCTCTTTCAACAGTGT